AAAAAAAAAAAAAAAAAAAAAAAAAAAAAAAAAAAAAAGAAAAAATACAAAAACAACAGAAAATTTATTTGAACCTTCTCGTTAAAGAACCTTTTTGTTAAAAGAAACTATTACTGTTTGTGGATTTTTATAGATGGATTATTCATGCTTATCTGTGAGCTTCTCTATTTCTTTCCGTATATTTTCGCCAGTCTGTCCGATAAACGCTTTCGTCTTCTCCAACGCGTTGTTCAAGTCCGAGTGCTCGAACGCCTCCTTCACGTCGTCGAACATCTTCTTCGCTTTGTTCGCCAGCTCGTCAAGAGTGCTGGCGGTTTGCTGCGGTGATTGTTGCGGCTCCTCGGCCACAGGAGTGGCCTAATTAACAATGCAAATCGCCGAGAAAGATTAACAATCCTCCGTAACGAATCGTATCAACCAAGAATCATATTGAAGAAGATTTAATTATTTAAGAAGATACGTATGTTCTACTCACCTGCAGCACGTAGACCAGGCAGACAAATAGGAAAGCGAACAGGAGGTATCGAGTCATACTTTCAATCAATTCGTTGCACTTTTTTTTTTTTTTTTTTTTTCTCGAAAAACCGACCGAATGCGAACAATTTCTGTACAGTTGCAGAGACGGCAGTGAACTGGCCTGGAAGCTGGGTGCGAAGTGTACTACGATAAAACGAGTCGAGATCAAAGATCACTCTAATAACCACTTTAAAGCCTTTGTAACTTCTAAGCTTATTCTCTAAGTTGTTTCTTTGTCGTCTCACTCGGTTAAACGGCGCGACGCGTGCATAGATACGTACACGTTGTTTCTCCTTCGTTCTACTCAAACAAAGTGAACTGCTCTTCGATCGAATGACCACTTTTGACGAAACTAATTATCCCGGTTTTACGTCATGATTTGCATCTTTTTTTTTTCCGCCTCCCCCTCCGCGGCACTTTATCTACGCTCTGCGGAAATTGTGTAACTTCGCGGTATTCCTATTTTCTGAATCTTTTCAAGAATTTCACAAACATGTTACACAACACGCCATGTTTTACATCGTAATTAAACAGTTTAAATAAATGTTGTTTACACATACATATACATGAAGTTTTCGCAGAATTTTCTGCTTCTTAAATTTGCTATTGTAGCTCTTAATACAGTAGTAGTAAAGAAGTTTCCTCCTTTTTTTTAAATTTACAAAAATGTTAATAACAATCTCTTTGATTAATCTTTTCTTCTTCTTCTCTTCTGCGAAAGCTCCTATAAACAAAATTACGAAACAGACCGGAACGTTGATCATCATTTTTGGTTGTTCGCATAATTATACGTATTCAATTCGAGATGAAATAAAACTATGTGCAACTACGGTGTGGAAAGTGTAATTGGAAATAAAAATAATTTTGATAAATAACATTTTTATTGCGTATACGTATATTGCGTGCATATGAATAAACAATGTTAGTACAGTTTAATTATTACACACTATGTTAAGTACAATAAATTATTACATTCTAAAAGTTTTAACAGTTGTAAGAGAGCAATTGGATTTTGAGTGTATAGTGTATACACGAATCAGTTGCGATGTCATCTATGAAAATTATTCTAACAGGTTAAAGGTCCTAAAAAAAATATATTTTTGTCATTATTATGAAACATTATAATACTATAATATTATAACTATTATATATTATAATGTTATAACTATAAGTTAAGTATTGATACTATAGTAATGCTATAATATTATAACTAAATTATAATAAATTTATTATTGTAGATGTAATATTATACTATTCTATAGTATAGTGTAGTATAGTATTATTATTATAAAATACTATAGTGTGGTATTACTATTATAGTATACTACAGTGTAGTATTGTTATTATAGTATACTATAGCGTAGTATTACTATTATAGTATACTATAGTGTGGTATTACTATTATAGTATACTACAGTGTAGTACTATTATTATAGTATACTATAGCGTAGTATTACTATTATAGTATACTATAGTGTAGTATTACTATCATAGTATGTTATTAGTATTATAGTATACTATAGTGTGGTATTACTATCATAGTATATTATAGTGTAGTATTACTATCATAGTATACTGCAGTATAGTATTGCCATCATAACATACTGTAGTATAGTATTAACATCATGTTATACTATAGTATAATATTACCATTATAGTATACTGTAATACTACAATATAGTATATATTATTATAGTATATATACTACAATATAGTATACTGTGGTTGTAATACTATAATATTATAACTAACAATTAGTTAACAATAAGTATAATAAATTTATTATTGTAGGAGTATATCCAAATTACACACGGAAGAAGGGAAACATAGTAATTACTGGTTTAGATAATGATGAGCATCGATTCTACTCATCCAGAACCAATCCTGAAGCGATGCTTTGCGAAGACGATTCGCTCATCGTAACGTTTGTTGAACTCTCTTCGGATGTTGTAACAGTCTCGGACATTCCAAGAAGCTGCAGTATTTCAATGAAAGTTTGCGAGAATCCAGAGGCAGAGAATCCGCTGAAAAATGCCTGCAATATGTCGATACCCTCCTCGAAGAACGCTAAATGCCGATACAACTTCCGGCGAGTGTAACTTATCAAATTGTCGGCCATCGTCTCCACCCACGTGACCGCTTCGAAGACCAAACCCGCTATCTCCTCCACGGGATTCAACACGTACCCGTAAAACAGACTCAACGCCTTCTTGCTAAAAATAACAACGTTGCTCTCGAATTTTTTCAACATATGCCTGAAGTCAGCTTGAAAGTACGCGAAGAGATGCCTGACGTGATCCTCGAACTTTTTGATACTCTTTGTCAGTTTAATTACGCTCCTCACGATGGGCATCACTAGGCGAAGGTCCTTCTTCACGATGGTCATTAACTTTTTCAAGTTCTCAGGGTGTTTGAGAAACTCCTCGAAACGTATCACAACGGTTTCTACAAGCCGGGAGAGATCACCGTCGAGCGCGAGTTCGGTGAACGAGAACACATCCTCGGTGACGTTCAGTGCGACGACCAAGGGAGATCCGGGCTTCAAGTCTTGCGCGATCGATACGGCGTAACCAACGATCTTGTTCATTTCGCAGAAGTATTCGTGAACCATAGTTCCGACCTTGTGTCTGTGGCCATAGTTCAAAGCAATTGTCTCGCAGGAATCGTTCTCAGACGAGGTTGTCTCAACTTCCGTCTCCGACACGCTTTCAGTTTCCGAGACCTTCCAACTCACGTCTTCCGCCTCGCGTTTTGACAACAAGCTCGACTTACTTGCAACGTTCTAAAAATGGTTGAACAATAATAATAATAAGTTTTATTAATAAGTTGCTCCAATCATGTATGAAAGTGTAGAAAAATAGAGAATCACCATCGTTTCATCTTCTTTGTTCCCTTCCTTCTCTGCCGGCGTTGCGAACAATTGCAAGGGTTGCAAGACGCTGGATAGATCATGGTGGCGTAATTCAAATAAAGGGTTATTTGCTCCTTCTTTAATTATTCTCGTTAGATCAGTTTGATTTTCACTGGCAGCGATGAACGCCGTGGTGTCTAACACCGCGAGAAGCAAGAAGATCCTCAAGCACCTGTGCTCCATTTCTTTCTTCCAGTTAAACAGCACATATTGGTTTTAGCTGATGAGGACAGCTTCATATATTCAGGGAATTCGTCTCTTATTTTAGCAAATCGCACGCACACCGTGCGCAAACTTCAAAAGTTCGGATGATTAATTGGAATATCTTTGATTTAGATATGACTTTACGTGTACATGTGCATTTAAGAAACCAAGAGGAAAGCACGTATTTAATTCTTCGCCGATTACCTACGCATGTATAAACAACAATTATCAAGTTAAACGGAGAAGAGAAAACATGATTTATCGTTTATTCGTATCAGATTTATTTTACCATCTGATGTTACTTTGATGTAATATCATTGTTTCGTACGTATACATAGAATGGGCCAAAAGTTTCTTCCCATCTATTTTTTTCTTTTTTCTTTTTAATAAAACTTCAAAATATAAGAAAAAACTAACTTTACTAATTTTAAGTTAATTTTAGTAGGAAGTGATTTTTTTGGTCCACCCTACTTTACACTAATTTCGTCGTATCAAAATTTATGGACATGATGACAATGAAATTTCACAAGTACTC